GAGCAGCCCCCCCAATACTCGCCAAAGCAAGAAGACTCCAGCTAGCTGACGCTAGCTTTCGTGACTTCCCGGTCGGGTTGTGAAACTTCCCAGACGGATTGTGCAACTTGGATTGTGAAGTTTGCCAGTCGGATTGTGAAACTTACCGCGCGGATTGTGAAACTTGTATTGTGAAATTTGAAATTCGGATTGTGAAATTATAACTATAAACTCAGATTGTGAAACTCTGAAAGCGGATTGTGAAACTCTGGGGTCAGATTGTGAAACTGGTATTGTGAAACTCTGAAGACGGATTGTGAAACTTTGGGGGTGGATTGTGAAACTGGGATTGTGGAACTCTGAAGACAAATTGTGAAACTCTGGGGAGAGGTTGTGAAACTGGTGTTGTGAAAGTCTGCAGAGAGATGGTGAAACTTTAGGTCGAGATTGTTTCGTGGGCACTGCGAAACTCTGAAGACAGATCAGGAAACTGTGAAACTCCAAATTTCATAATCAAAGCCTCAAGTCTCAGAATGCGACGTCCAAGTTTCACAATCCGACGTTTGAAAACCGTTACAAATTAGTTTGAAGTTCCATGCGGGTGGGAATTTTGATATCATCTTAACTTTGTGGAGACTCAAGGTCAGTTTGAAGTTCCATGGGGGTGGGAAATTTGATATCATCTTAACCTTGTGGAGACTCCAAGTCACCTTGAAATTCCATGGGGGTGGGAATTCTGATATCATCTTAACCTTGTGGAGACTCCAAGTCAGTTTGAACTTCATGGGGGTGGGAATTTTGATATCATCTAACCTTGTGGAGACTCAAGGTCAGTTTGAAATTCCATGGGGGCGGGAATTTTGATATCATCTTAACCTTGTGGAGACTCAAGGTCGGTTTGAAGTTCCATGGGGGCGGGAATTTTGATATCATCTTAACCTTGTGGAGACTCCAAGTCAGTTTAAAGTTCCATGGGGGTGGGAATTTTGATATCATCTTAACCTTGTGGAGGCTCCAAGTCAGTTTGAAGTTCCATGGGGGTGGGAATTTTGATATCATCTTAACCTTGCGGAGACTCCAAGTCAGTTTGAAGTTCCATGTGGGTGGGAATTTTGATATCATCTTAACCTTGCGGAGACTCCAAGTCAGTTTGAACTTCCATGGGGGTGGGAATTCTGATATTGTCTTAACCTTGCGGACACTCCAAGTCAGTTTGAAGTTCCATGGGGTGGGAATATTGCTATTGTCTTAACCTCGTGGACACTCCAAGTCAGTTTGAAGTTCCATGGGGGTGGGAATTGTTTGGAGGAAGTGTAGCTGCAGAGTTGCTCAATCCGGCCAGCGTAGTTGCACAAGCAGAGTTGCACAATCCTGGGAGCTGCACAATTTGTCAAAAGCAGTTGCGCAAGCAAAGTTGCGCAATCCTACGAGTTGCGCAATTCTACGAGTTGCGCAAGCAGAGTTGCGTAATTCTGGAAGTTGCGCAAGCGGAGTTGCGCAATCCTGGGAGTTGCGCAGGCCAAGTTTCGCAATCCTAGTTGCACAATCCGGAGAAGTTGCGGAATCGGACTTTATTCCATGATGTTTTTCGAAAAAAAAAACTATGTTGATCATCGCCACCACAAGGCGCAACCTTCACCAGCTTGCATGTGAACTTGTGAATCACGGGAATTGTAGGCTAAGCGGCTTGTCTTTTGCAAGGGTGCAGGTGTGAAAACCCTTTGCAGTGGCGAAAACGCGCACATAATTCATTCATTTCATTCATCATTCCTATTGCATACAGAAATGCTCTTGCACTGGCTGAAGCATGTCTGGTGTATTCCACACCGTAATCGCCGTAATCGCTGCTGTATGACTGTATGAAAGCGACTGCATGAGAAAAGGGCCGAGGGATCACTCTGCTATGTTTTCATGAAGGTGGGACTACCCAGTGACTTTTCGCCGCACCTCTGGAAGTCGCTGCAGTCTCAGCCCACCTCGTGCAACATTGCATCATTAATCACCATATCACACAGTTACACTGACACTTTGCCTCTCTTTCACACAGCAAGATACGCCACTCTGACTCCAAGCACAACAAGCACAAAACGGCTGCATTGCTCTTGGCCCTGCTCGCCGTCTTGTGAAAGGCCGGGCACATCTACTCGCAATCTCCACTAGAATTTTTGGCCACATGTGACAACCTAAGGTCAAGCGAACACCCTCCCTCCCTCCCTCTCTCTCTCTCTCTCTCTCTCTCTCTCTCCCTCTCTCTCTCTCTCTCCCCCTCCCTCTTTGCGACACAGCCAGCCTGTGCGTTCCATTTTTACCTCTCCGAATCATTGGAATGGAGAACATGAAATGCACAGGGTACATACATATGCATTTCTGGATTTGCCTCTATTCGGATTCTTAGGATGTGTCGTTCAATGCCTGACTAAGTAAGCCCTTCAAGAAATCATACCCAGAAATAATATATATATATATTCTTTCTTTCATATTCTTTTCCGCAACTAGTGGAAATGCAAGACCAGACCAGATGTGATATGATTTCTGGATAAATATTTAAACTTGCTTGAATAAGCATCATCCAAATCTATGGGTCGCTTCAATTTAGCAGGTCTCTTCTGATCAGCACTATACTACAGTCACTGGCGGCGAAGCTCTCCGCCTTAAAGTTCTGGCCAACATGATGCAAGGAGCAATCGGAGCCAGAGAGCAGGGGTTGAGGTCAGTGCGCACAATATACTTGGATAGGTCAGGTTATATCATTATATAATACGAACCAACTTCAAGAATCACGCTTAAGCAATCTTGCAAGCTCTTGATAGCCAGCATGGTGAAGCATGATGAAACATGAAGCATGTAGGATTTTTCTCCTCGAAAAGTCTGCCACAGGCTGTTCAAGGCTCAGCCGAATTCTGTATAGCTGTACACGCGTTGGCATTTCTAAGGCATGTGTTGAAATGTACAGTAATCTATGAGTAAGCTATCACAGCCATGCCAAGATCAGCAAGAGCATGAAGCTGCCAAAAGCCTAGCACACGAAAGTATTTGCTCCAGGACTGGAACCAAAGGTGAAGAATATTCAAAGCCTCGATGTTGAAGGACAGGAATCGCACACCTTGAAGGAAGAATGCAACATAGTTGAAACAGAAACAGAAACAACGCAACTCCGCAACTCGAGGGACTGAAGGATTTTCCCACGAAGTCCCAAAGAAGTCCCGTTTGTCGCCCGTTTGTCCGCTTCACCTTGTGGCCTTGAGATCTTCGATTTGAGCGGATCGCAGGCTGAGGTTGAAACGGATCATCACCTGCTAACTCACCAAGGCTGGATGCCTCGGCACCAAATCCTGTGCCTTTTGGCGAGCAAACGTGATGTATAAAGAATTGTAAATGCCTTGCAATACTTATATATAATACCGCACCAAAAGTAGAACCAAGTATACCAAATTGAAATTCTCTTGCAATCGATGTCCAATGCTGCTGAAAGAGCTTGCAGCGTGTAATGTTTTCAACTCAAATCAAGATGTGGTCCAATGGTCTTATGGCTGGTGCAAAGATAGACCAGGAAGCATCAGCATCATTTTGTTTTATTCGCTGGACCTGCGATGATCAATGCAAAGCTAAGTAGCGAGCTTGGCCCATCAGGATGTCGCCAAGCAGAAGGGATGCATTCGCAATTCATTAACTTCCCACCTGTCCCTCTCACTGGGTTGCCGTGAAAGAAACGGGGATGAATGAAGTGAGATGGGAATGAATGGAATGCAAGCATGCTTTACACATGTGTGTGAGAGGGCACCTGTGTGAGCTGCGCGTGTCTGCGCGTATGCAAAGTAAGCTGCATGAATAAAGATCAAGGTTTTTGATACCATACTTTACCATGTGTACCTGAGTTGGAAAGGATGGACTTTGAAGAACAAGGAGCATCCTCACAATAACTACCAAGAATTCTACAGCGTCCCTCATACATCCATTGCAGGAGGGTCATGCATCAGAATTCAGTAGTGGATGGGGCTAGAAACATGCTGTGCACACGTCCATGCATTCAATGTTGTCAGTGCTTTCCAAAGGAACAGAATATCAAAGTTATAGGTGACAAATGATCAGCCCCATTCACTACATAGATGCTCAGCAATGTGAAACTCCAGAGAAGATAGTCAAAGTTCTCGGTCAAAGGTTTGGAATTGTAAGAATTGTCTGGACATATTTGGAGTTTCAGTTGCAACGGAAAATCAAGAGCATCTTTCGCATATACACAGATCTCGCCAGGACGGAAACCAACGTTTCCCTTCAGACATAAGTGGTTCTGCCAGTCTCTGTTGCATAAACACGAGGATCTCACAGTTCAATTCATTCTGAAGCTGAAAATATGCTCTGAAAGAAAACCATAGTCGGAAAGTACTAAGCAGCGACACTACTAGAACCACGCCAGTACAGAAATCACAAGCTGAGCTGAGGCCTGGAACCCTGCAGCCTCAACAAAGTCCTTGGAGCCTGTGAATGTCAGAATTTCAAAGGTGCTTGCTGCCACAGTGAAGGAAATGATAGGGAGCACTTGAGACAACATGCCCGCAAGGCGCCTCTTGTTTCACAGGTGACTTGCAAGTGGCTCAACCGTGCCTCAGCATCAGCAGCTGCAAGCTTCAGCAAAAAGAGAGCTACTCGATTCTCAGTTTTCTCTAAATAATCCTTGCGGCCTTTGCAAGAAGGTGTCGGTGAGGAAAATCGTAAGGGCCTCATTGATCAGAAAATGAGTGGAATCCACGAACTCCACTGCACAGTTCCAGTCCCTCTGTGCCTGAGAATCGAACAAGTGGCATGGCACTGGCAACAACGCTCTTGCCACAACCCCGAAACATCCATCGACCTAAGCAGCATGAAGCAGCAAGAGCCGCATTAAGCAGCATGAAGCATGAAGCATCACAAAGCAGCATTCAGCAGAATCAAGCAGCATTAAGCAGCATTAAGCAGAATGAAGCAGAATGAAGCAGCATGAAGCAGCATTAAGCAGAATGAAGCAGAATGAAGCAGCATGAAGCAGCATTAAGCAGTTTAAAGCAGCATCAAGCAGCACGAATTTGCATTGAGCAGAAGGAAGCAGCATTAAGCAGAATGAAGCAGCATGAAGAAGGATTAAGCAGAATGAAGCATAAAGCAACATTAAGCAGAACGAAGCATGAAGCAGCATTAAGCAGCATTAAGCAGAATAATGCGACATGAAACAGAATGAAGCAGCATGAAGCAGCACGCTGCAGCATTCAGCAGAATGAAGCAGAATGAAGCAGCATTAAGCAGCATTAAGCAGAATGAACCAGCATTAAGCAGAATGAACCAGCATGAAGCAGAATGAAGCAGTATGAAGCAGCATTAAGCAGACTGAAGCAGCATGAAGCAGCACGGAGCAGAATGAAGTAGCATGAAGCAGCATAAAGCAGAATGAAGTACCATCAAGCAGCAGCATTTAAAGCAGAATGAAGCAGCATGAAGCAGCATTAAACAGTTTAAAGCAGCATCAAGCAGCATTGAGCAGAATGGAGCAGCATGAAGCAGCATTAAGCAGAATGAAGCAGCATGAAGCAGCATTAAGCAGAATGAAGCAGCATGAAGCAACATTACACAGCATAAAGCAACATTACGCAGCATTAAGCAGAATGAAGCAGCATGAAGCAGCATGAAAAAGCATTAAGCAGAATAAAGCAGCATTAAGCAGCAAGAGCCGCATTAAGCAGAATAAAGCAGCATCAAGCAGAATGAAGCGGCATGAAGCAGCATTAAGCATGAAGCAGCATTAAAAGAATGAAGCAGAATGAAGCAGCATTAAGCAGAATGAAGCATGAAGCAGCATTAAGCAGAATGAAGCAGCATGAATCAGCATTAAGCATGAGGCAGCATTAAGCCGAATGAAGCAGCATGAAGCAAGATTAAGCAGCATTAAGCATCCTGAAGCAACATTGAGCAGCATTAAGCAGCATAAAGCAACATTAAGCGGCATTAAGCAGCATGAAGCAACATTAAGCAGCGTTAAGCAGAATGAAGCAGCATGAAGCAGCATTAAGCAGCATGAAGCAGCATTAAGCAGAATGAAGCAGCATGAAGTAACGTTAAGCAGCATTAAGCAGAATAAAGCAGCATGAAGCAACATTAAGCAGCATCAAGAAACATTAAGCAGCATCAAGCTGAATGAAGCAGCAAGAAGCAGCACTAAGCAGAATGAATCAGCATGAAGCAGCATTGAGCGGAATGGAGCAGCAATAAGCAGCATTCAGCAGAATCAGCAGAATGAAGCAGCATGAAGCAACATTAAGCAACAGCAGCATGAGCCAGCATTAAGCAGCTTTGAGCAGAATGAAGCAGCATGAATCAGCATTCAGCAGAATGAGGCAGCATGAAGCAGCATTAAGCAGAATGAAGCAGCATGAAGCAGAATTAAGCAGAATGAAGCAGAATGAAGCAGCATGAAGCAGCATTAAGCAGAATGAAGCAGCACGAATCAGCATTCAGCAGAATGAAGCAGCATGAAAAAGCATTAAGCAGAAATAAGCAGAATACAGCAGCATTAAGCAGAATGAAGCAGCATGAAGTTCATGAAGCAGCATTAAGCAAAATGAATCAGCATGAAGCAGCATGAATCAGCATTACGCATGAAGCAGCATTAAGCAGCATGAAGCAACATTACCCAGCATTAAGCAGAATGAAGCAGCATTAAGCAGCATTAAGCAGAAAGAAACAGCATGAAGCAATATTAAGCAGAATGGAGCAGCGTGAAGCAGCATTCAGCAGAATGAAGCAGTATTAAGCAGAATGAAGCAGCATGAAGCAGCATTAAGCAGTTTAAAGCAGCATCAAGCAGCATTGAGCAGAATGGAGCAGCATGAAGCAGCATTAAGCAGAATGAAGCAGCATGAAGCAGCATTAATCAAAATGAAGCAGCATGAAGCAACGTTCAGCAGCATTAAGCAGCATTAAGCAGCATGAAGTAACATGAAGTAGCATTAAGCAGAATGAAGCAGCATGAAGCAACAGTAAGCAGCATGAAGCAGCATGAAGCAGAATGAAGCAGCATGAAGCAGCATTAAGCAGAATGAAGCAGCATGAAGCACCATTGAGCGGCATTAAGCAGCATGAAGCAACATTAAGCAGCATTAAGCAGCATGAAGCAGCATTAAGCAGAATGAAGCAGCATGAAGCAACATTAAGCAGAATGAAGCAGCATGAAGCAGCATTGAGCAGCATGAAGCATAAAGCAGCATTAAGCAGAATGAAGCAGAATGAAGCAGCATTAAGCAGAATGAAGCAGCATTCAGCAGAATGAAGCAGCATGAAGCA